GGTGGGTGCAGCACATCTTGAGGTCTTCAAAGTACTTGGCTACTAAGGTTCTGACAGGGCCAGGGATATAGAAGAAGTCCAGGGCATAGTCGATGAGTTGATGGGGGACGGATCCGTATGCGTTGGCAAGGTCCAGCCATACCACATGCAGGTCACTTTTTTCTCTTTTTGCTCTCTGGATCTGCTCCCAGATGACTGCAGAGTGTTCCACACACCCTGGGAATCCTGGTACACCTGCTTTCTGGCAGCTGGTGTTGATGTACCTGTTACTAGCCTCTTGGCCAGTACGGAGAAAAAGATCTTTCCTTTGACATTCCTAAACTGACTGATGGTGGTGGATATTTTCGTGGCTGCAGAGATTCGAGTTGTTTTTCGTTATCCAGTGCAGAAGTGGTGTTAGAGCAGAGGGAGGAAAGGGTCACGGAGGGTTAATGATGTGAGATTAATAGTTAAATTAGCGAGCTCAGAGGCAGGGCCGGGGGCAGCTGCTGAAAACCCTCCGCTGTGTCCTAGATTCACAGAAGTCACAGGACAATAAGATTCGCCCGTGTCCTTCCAGAAAAGGACGGAAGGATAAAGATGTTCTAATCTGTGTTCAGAGGGATGGCTCTACTGACAGACGACTCCCAAATATATCCTCATGTGATATTCATATTACTCCAGTATTAACATAGATTTGTCAGAAGTAATTGAATTAAATAAATGTGCGTTGAGTTGTTTTCATGCCAGGAAAACCGAGGACAGTAAAAGTGTGGCAGTGCGGTCGTCTGGCGTCGCCTTGATCAACAATCAGACTCTACCTCCTGCATTTGCAGCTGCGCTCTGCCCTCCGCAGGCTGGTAAGGTTCTTCCTCACCTCCTCCCACAGTGGTTTCAGGCCCCTGCCACTCTCAGAGGAATAGGTATCTGCCAGGTGTTCTGTGTCCTCCACTTGCCTTCCTTCAGCAGCGTTGGAACCCTCAACGCTGTGGTTAGCGACCTGGCTTTGGGCTTGATATTGTCTGACCTGCAGATGCAGTGCAATGTTGCTGCTGGCCACTCACTCCGCACTTCTTCTTTCCCTGGTGGATCCTTAGGCCCCTGAAAGTTGTCAGCTTCTCCCAGCCACACCTGCATTTTCACATTATCTTGTCATCATTGCCTGTGTCCGTTCCAGTTGTTACCGAAAAATCCGTCAAACAAACAAACAATATTAGATCAGTGGTGACAACTTGGTCTGATTCAGCACGTTTGAAATAAATAAACACTTTTTGTATTGTTCTTGAGTTAAATCTCATAGCCAGTAGTAGTAATTTAAATGAAAAACTTCAGTCCAGTGTTGTAACGCTTCGCAGAACCTTTTTTTTTTCAACAGCTGGCATCACTTGAGAGAGCCATAATAAATGGTGGACCGCGTGACTCGACCAGAGGCTAGCATCTGTGGCAGGAAATAGATAGAGACAGAGTTCTCAACACTGCCCTCAAGGCCCACAATCGATCACTTCCTGTGGCACAACTGACCACTGACACTTTGTCAGCTTCCTGGCAGCCCAATTGGATCCATACGCCGGTAATGTGGCCCCTGGATCACAGGTCAAACGCTGCACGTCAGCACACACACACCTTGTTTGGGCACAAGGCCTCTTCGTTGCCCTTGCTTCATCTTAACCTGCTATAATTCTCCACAACAATTCCTCACTATGTGCTTTATCAAACGCAAAGTCTTTTGTGGCCAGAAGATAGAAATAAGGAGCCTGGAAGAATCGATTGAGTCATACAGTAGGCGTAATTGAGGCAGAATTTGTCATTGTCCGGGTGGATCTCTGCGAACGTGATCGCAAGTAATAGGAGAGTACTGATGAAAATGTGGTGGGAGCACTGGAGATGGAGGTGATTTTTTTTATTATATTTACAGAATGCTGCAATAGTTTACATGAAAAACAATAGGAAACAATTTGCCAGAGTACAAAAAAAAATCATTCATGTGTTATTGCAAATGTGACAAAAACTCTAACATAGGCATGGAGCAAGGAGGAGGTCACAGAGTTTTAGATGAGGACAAAGGCTATCATGTTGCAGCAGCACCCACACTTCCTCCTTACTGTTATCTCAGCCCTGCTCTCTCTCATCCTACCATAGCCTAGGCCTGCCAGTTGCACTGAGCACTCCGGCT